GAGTCGGTTCCAACTCGATGGCACCTGACAACAACAACAATATCCTCTGAGAAATAAGAGAAGATATTACATTCACAGACTAGGACAGAGTTCTGAAACGAAACACTCAGAAAATGATCATTACAAAAGCTCTTGCAAATAAACAATTAGTTCGCTGACATAGAAATATGCCCAGAGTTCTTAGACAGTAGACAGAACATTAAACCCATTGTGGGTCAAGGACTGACTCCTGCTCTAAGTCCTAGCAGAGGAGTAGGAAGTGGTCATCTGGAGGCCCTGGAAAATGTCATTCTAGACAAGGGAACCCACCTGAGAGAAGGCATCGTGATGACAGGTACACATCGGTTTGGTGGAGGGGGCTGACTCTATCTACACTGTAGACAATACAGAATCACAGAAAGAATGTGATGAGGGAATCACACATTGAGTTGTGTGTTTCCAAAGGATCTTTTTGACATTGAGTAAGGCAGACTGGTGTGGTGCTGTAGGTTAATGTGTCAGACTGCAAAGCTGTTTGAACTGCAAGGTCGGAGGTTCAAGCTCACCGGCTGCTCCTTGGAACCCCTATACAGGGTCACTATGGGTCGGAACTGACTTGATGGCACTTAAACAACAAGGCAGACTGGAAGGGTTAAACTTGGAGCCGTAGAAACTCCTTAGGAGACTGGGGTACAACGGTAGAGATAATGACAACAGGAGATGTGCAAGGCTTGAGATATGTTTAATAGATGGACAAAGCTTCATCATTAATGCACTGGGTGGGATGAGGGAAGAAGACAACAAAAGAGCCAGACTCATGCCCAAGATGTCAAGCTTGGGTGACTGAGTGGGTGAGCCATAAGTTTTGGATACAAGTCTCACAGTATTGGTACAATGAGTAGATTAAACTGAGAGATGAGTCTTAAGCTCTTTCTCGAAAGCACACCTCACAGTTGTAGTAATATTACATATTAATGTTTCCTTCATCCATAATGCTGATCCCTGGTTTAAGAAACGCCTTCCATTTCACAGCCTGTCACTTAATGAGATGGAGTCCTGGAGTGGTACTGTAGGATAATGCAGTGATCTGCAAAGTTGGTTTGAAAAGCAAGGAAGGCAGTTCAAACCCACCAGCTGCTCCTCAGAGACCCTACACAAGGGCAATATGGAATTCACCATAGAGCTAGTTTATTAAGGGGTGCTGTTGTTACGTGCCATCGAGTGTGTTCCAACTCATAGCGACCCTGTGTAGGGTTTCTGAAGAGTGGATGGACAGTTCAAACCCACCAGCTGCTTCTGGGAAACCCTATACAGGGTCGCTATGAGTTGGAACCAACTTGATAACACTTAACAACATCAACATATATATATGGCTCAAAGACAAGTATCTTCTTAATTCCAGACCTCCCTGGATGAGAATTTTATTTTATTTTTTATTAGTCTAACTTTTACTTAAATTTTTTATTATTTTTGTTGTAGATTGGGTGAACATTCACAGTGTAAATTAGTTTTCCATTCAAAAACAGTTGTATACATTTTGCTTTGTGACATTGGTCACAGCCCCTTCAGTGTGACAACACACTTCCCACTTCCTCCCGGCTTCCTGCCTCTTTGTTTATTCTTTCCTATGTCTTCAGCGTAGTGGTTACGAATTGGGCTGCGAACCTTAAGGTCAGCGGTTCGAAACTACCAGCCGCTCCACGGGAGAAAGATGAGGCTTTCTACTCCCGTAAGGATTTACACCCTCGGAAACCCTGTACAGGGTCGCTATGGGTCGGAACCGACTCGACGGCACTTAACAACAACAACAACATGTCTTCCTGCCTTCTGACTTTGTCCTGATGAAAATGCAGCCCTTTCAGTCTCATGTGGTTGACTGTGATGAATTCCTCCCTAGAATTTTACAGGTCTGACTATTGTTTGGTTGAAAACTGATCCTTGGAGGTCGGTTCTGTTCTAGGGTTTGAGGGTGTCTGGCGCCGTGGGTTAATAAGCGAGACTGCAAAGCCATTTGAACTGCAAGGTTGTTGGTTCAAGCTCACCAGCGTCTCCTTGGAAACCCTATACAGGGTCTCCATGGGTCAGAACCGACTCAACGGCACTTAACAACAACAACCACAAGGGTATCTAGGACTCCTGGTGTGGCGCAGTGGGTTAATGTGCCAGACTGCAAAGCCATTTGAACTGCAAGGTCAGTAGTTCAAGCTCACCAGCCACTCCTCGGAAACCCTATACAGGGTCGCTATGGGTTGGAAACTACTCGACAGCACTTAACAACAACAACAACAACAAGGGTATCTAAGTGGGTTCCACCAGTTTCTAACAGACCAGTAGGTCTGGTCTTTTTATAATTTGAAATTTTGTTCTACATACTTCTTTTTCTACCTTTCTGTCCAGGATCGTCTATTGTGCCCCTGATCAGAGTGGTTTATAGTGGTAGTCCGACACTGTCTAGTCTCAGGGCAGCGGAGGCTCTGGTTTGGAAGGTCCAATTGTCCTTTCAATTAAGAGTTTCCTTGACTCTGATTTTCTCCACTCTTCTTTGCTCTGAATGAGGAGAGACCAACAGTTCGATCTTAAATGGTCACTCACAAAATGTTAACATTGCTGTGGCTACTCACCAAAATAGGACCTAGAACATTGTCTTTGCAGACTGTGTTATACCAATTGACCTAGAGAACCCCTAAGACTGTGGTCCTAAGACCCAGTGATTCATTCCCTCAAGGTGCTTAGTAATGGCTAGGGAGTTTTTGTAACTTTGCACCCTGTATGTTCCATTCTATCCGTGGGTACATCAGCAGCACATACAAATAGATATCTAGAAATATCCCCTGCCAAACCCAAACCTATAACTGGTCTTGGGTGTAGTTCCATTTGACTCCCCACACCTGTTCATCCTGTATGTGTCCCTAAGTATCTAATCGTGGATAATAGTTACTATGGTCACTGCAGGATCGTCTGTATAATAATATTTGCCTTTATGGTCTTTCAATCTTGTGCAGTATCCAGTCACTTCCTTGGCTATTGGTCACGTTTTACTGCCCTCCCCCTTATTGAATAGTGCGTTTCCTTTCACGCAAGTTAATACAGGATTTTAAAAGACTTTATTATTCATGCCGGCTTTCACTTCTCTAGTTCATATCACCTAAAACAACCGAAGATCCCGGATGACAAATCCAAGGTCCCATGCCAAAAGAACTGTGAAAGGAAGGCTTGGAGGTAGAAAGTTCCAAAGCGTCCTTGAAGTGTGAGGCCCCTGTTCAGACACCACCGAGGCCACAGACTTCGCGCAGATTTCTTCTACCCTTTGCTTCAGGGAAATGATAAAATATTTATCTTTGATGCATTTTGACTTTGTTTCTTCGACCCTGGAACTTGGCGTGATAATGAACCCGAGTTGTCTATTTTATAAAATGAAATCCCTCCTAATGAGACAGCAGCTGGGTATATATTAGAGTGAAGGATTCTGGATCCAGAGATGTCCGGGTTTTCTCCCACTCAGCCATTCCAGAAGGGTGTGGTCTAGGAAGCACTGACTGGCATCTTTGTGCCTCAGGCTCCTCCCTTAATACAAAGAGGAATTTTATTGTACATTGTTTTTTTCTACCTCTCTGTCCAGGACCTTCTATTGTGATCCTGATGAGAGTGTTTTGCTGTGGTGGTCGGATACCTAGTTCACAGAGTTATTGAGAAGACGGGATAAAAGAATATAGATAAAATACTATGGTAAACTGCTATTATTGATATCTGCCCAGTTCTTTCTCTGCTTCCACATTTCCCCTGACCCAGCTTTCCTTTGAGCAGCAGTTCTTTCTCAGTACATATTTGTTATGGTTGTCAAAGAATGACAATCCAAAACACTCTGCCTCATGGGCTATGGGTACAGAAGTACACCATAGCAGGTCAGTTCTAGTGACTGCCTTTCTGCATGATGGGGTCAGAAGATGGACATGCGATCCAAGCCAGACCAATCACAGACCTCCTCAGGGTTTATATGCATTGAAATGAGGATTAACAACTGCTCTTTCCTCTGGATGATGTAAAGCTTGCATTCTCTGTGGCTGGAAATGCCCTTTCCACTTACTTACATCAGGAAGCCTGTTGGCAGGAGGATAAAATGTAGGTCAACAGAAACAGGAAGAGAAGTGAGAGATGAAAAGACAAGCATTATGCAGATACATGGATCCTTGGCTACAGCTGAGTTTCAGTCTCGCTTGATTCTTCATCCTTCTCAGTTGAGCCAATAAAGTCCCTAAGGAACTGTGTTGCTTCCAATTGAGCATCTGGACTAATTCGTTTAGATATACAAGTCAGTAAATAGAGGGGTCCTGGTGTGGTGCTGCAGGTTAAGTTCTGGACTGTGAACCACAAAGTCATCAGTTCAAACCCACCAGCTGCTCCTCAGAAATGCTATACAAGCTTGCTAAGAGTCTGAAACTAGTCAAAGGCACAACAACAAAGCAGATTACAGTTACTCCGGTCACTGCTAAACCGGTTTATTCATATAAAGGAAGCACAATGATATCTTAAAGGGCAGTTGCCTAGTTTCCAGGAGCTCATTAGGAAGGGTTGAATTGTATACATTGAAAGAGCTCATGCAATTCATCCAGTTCACTTCTATTGTGATCGTGGAGGGCAGGCGCAGATCTGTCAGCTTAGGCATTTACCATCTAGATGAGAGGTCTGGCTTGCCTGTGATTTGCAGACACCCCAGATAGAGGTAAAGGACTGACGTTTTCTAAAATGATTATGACCTAAGGGGCTAGAGGTGCTGCTATGGATTCCGTACATTCTTGTCTCTTTAGAATAGACAGTTGTAGCTGTGTGAACGTCAGGACCTCAGCCAGTAACTGACATGACTGGACATGCTCCACATAGTCTGTGAAACCGGCCAGGTATGTTCACCTGTCTTTCCATAAGGGAAGGGATTATACACGGAATGTGCTTCAGGTCAACACGCCAACGCCAGCACTCCATCCAATAGGAGCCTCTCTGAACAAATGGGATACCAGAGGGAGCCCTTAGACATTTGAACAAATTAGGTCATTCAGGTCTGTGGTCAGCTCCTGCCTAGATTTGGCCTTCCTCCTGGCCAGTTGGCCCACAGATCTTGGGATCTTAGTTTGATGGTGGGTGACTTGAAGGTACTGGTCAGTGCTGCTGTTCTGCTGGTCACTACTGGACGCTGCTGACATGGAGTCAGATTCTGTGAGGGATGGCTCACACTTGGACTTCACTCTTGGCTTCAGAGGGTACTGTGGGTATTGGATATGCCTGGAGCGTGGCTTTTTGTGCACATACATTGACCTGTCCAGATAACTCTCAAAACCATCATTCCAAGACTTACAATGTCTTCTTTCTTGGTCTGCGGGAGTTAGACTCTGACTTAGTGACTTTTCACCGGCATAAAACTGAGGAGCCCAGTGGAGGTCTGTAAGGGAACGTGGGTGCAAAGACTGCTTGATCAAATCTCTCCTCAGCATCTCCTCCTCTTCCTCACTCAGCTGTGGAGAGCGAGGCTGGTGAGGGAGCCAGGGCACATATTGTCGCAAATTTCTGGAGTACATTTCTACAATGTCACCTGAAGCATTTATCTTGAAATGTCTTTCTGGCCGGAAGACTGGGTGGGACTTTTTGTGAGAGTCACGTTCATTCATGTTATAGTATCTGGGAGCATGAGACCCACGGCCACGAGCCACCAAGCCTGAGGTCCCTGGTCTGTGGAGAGCAGGGCTACTTTGCCGAAAGTCTTTTCGATAAAGTGGCTCAGAATGAGCAGCATCTCCCACCTGCTTCTTAAACATCACGGGGGTGTAGGGTCTGTTCTTGCGAATGTCACCTGTGCTTCCACATGGATCACATGGGTCCCTGTGGAGACAGAGAGGATTACAAAGCCATGGTCAGTACTGTGAGCTACGATGACAGTTCCACCAGCACTTTCATCCAACCAGGTTCTAGAATTGTTATGGATGGAATTATCCCCACCCTACCCCAAATGTATGTTGGAATCCTAGCCTCTACGTTGTTGTTGTGAAGTGCCGTCGCGTCAGTTCGAACCCATAGTGACCCTCTAGAGGGTTTCCAAGGAGTGGCTGGTGAGCTTGAACCACCAACCTTGTAAATCAAACCAACTATGCAGTCTAGTGCATTAACCACAGCGCCACACCAGGACTCCGTTAAGCTCTATTGTTGTTGTTGTTAAGTGCCTTTGAGTCGGTTCTGACCCATAGCGACCCTGAACAGGGTTTCCAAGGCTGTAAATCTTTACAGGAGTAGAAAGCCTCATCTTTCTCTGGCAGAGCAGCTGGTAGTTTCAAACTGCTGACCTTGAGGTTTGCAGCCCAATTTGTAACCACTACGCTACCAGAGCTACTTGTTAACCTCTATAGCTTTGCATATAATCCCACTTGGGACTAGGTTTTTCGTTGCTATATTCATGAGGTATGGCACTGCGGGTTATTGTGCTGGACTGCAAGGTTGGTTTGAACCACAATGTCAGAGGTTCAAGCTCACCAACTGCTTCTCGGAAACCTTATTCAGGGTGGCTGTGAGTCAGAACCAGGGTTCAGCAAAAAACAAAAGCAACGTATCAGTGTAGGAGTCCTGGTGTGGCGCTGTAGGATAAGCACTAGACCGTAAGGCCAATTTGAACCACAAGGTCGGAGGTTCAAACTCACTAGCTGCTCCTCAGAAACCCTATATAGGGTTGCTATGAGTCAAAATTGACTCAACAGCACTTAACAAAAACAACAATATATCAGTGGAGGATGTGACCTAAGCCAACCACTTTTGAGAAATTAAAGAGTAGATTAGGAGAAGAACACAAGGCATAGAAAAAGATAGATGTCAAACCACATGAAAATCTGCAAGGAACTGAGGAACAGAGATTGTAAAGAGATAAAGAACACCCCCACCCCCCCACCCCAGAACTAACAGAGCTAGAAAATCTTCCATTACAACCGGCACCCTGAATTCAAACTTTTAGCTTCCAAAACTATGAGAAAATAAATTTCTGTTTGTTAAAACTGCCCACTTGTGAGACTTCTTTTGTTTCAGAACTAAGGAGCTAAGGCAAAATGGTCCATGGGTGTTTTATGGATTGTGTACAGATACATGTGGGGAACTCGGTTACACAGGCTTCTTTAACTGATGGAAATCTCAGAGTCCACAGCACTGTGACTCTCCATGAAGCGTGTAGGGAGGCCTGATTACCAGCTCTTTCTCCCCTGGAGCTGCTGGATACGTCTGAACTGCCAGCCTTCAGTGGGCAACTGAGTGCTTACCAATCAGGGCTGCTTTTTATCCCCATAAAGCTCTGGGCCGCAAGGTCGGTTTGAACCACAAGGTCAGTGGTTCAAACTCAACAGCCACTCCTTGGAAAACTTATACAGGGTCACTATGAGTTGGAACTGACCTGATGCCACGAAACAACAGCAACCAGCTATTACAATGTGTCTCATGGTTTTCTAGAAGAACTGGAGTTTCAAGACCATGGCCTCTTGAAGCTGTTCCGGCCTCTAAGTTCCCAGAGGCCCCTTGCTTGGACACCCTGGCATTTGGCCATCAGTAGCAGCATGTTGAAAGGAACTCTGGTAGCATAGTGGTTACGAATCGGACTGTGAACCTTAAGGTCAGCAGTTCGAAACTACCAGCTGTTCTGCGGGGGAAAGATGAGGCTTTCTGCTCCCATAAAGATTTATAGCCTGGGAAACCCTGTACAGGGTCACTATGGGTCAGAATCGATTCAACAGCACTTAATAACAAAGCAGCATGTTGAAGGCAGTCTGGTCCCCGGCACGTTGCAGTTAAAGCTCACCTGTGAGTGTCATATGCCTGCCGAGGCTTGGCGATGCCGGGAAGAGGTGAGCTGAGACTCCAGTGTCTTGTCCTGGGACTCTGGGTCACGGGTTGGCTGATGGTCTCTATATTGCCACTGTGGCTGTTTGGTGCATCAAAATTGACCACGTCAAAATTGACCACGCTTCCATTGTGTTGGGGTGTGGCGGAGTGAACAGAGGACAGGTAACTGACTATATCATTGTCCTTTGGAAGCCTCTTGATGCTTTCCTCCTGGGTCTGGATTCGAGCTGCAGGTGAAGGAAGAACCAGTGAGGAGATCATCATTAAGGTTCCTGGTGTGGCACTGAGGGATAATGCGCTGGACTGCAGGGTCAGTTTGAGCCTCAAGGTCGGTAGTTCAAACCCACCAGTCGCTCCTCAGAAACCCTATAGAGGGTGGCTATGAGTTGGAGTCAACTCAACAATACTTAACAACAACAACAACATATGGGCTAGTTTAGCTGGAAACATTTTATGACTTCTAACATTTGCGTCTATAAACAATTTTGCTTACTTGCAAATACACATAATCTGTGGACAACAATAAATTCATAATTCAAATTATTTAATCACAGAAAGTTGGTACTGAAAGGGACTATAAACCTAAAAAAATATCCAAATGTATCATCTCAATTCCAATGCATGGTGGTCCATGTGCTGTTGAATGGAACCCACAGGATTTTCTTGGCTATAATCCTGGTGTGGCACTGTGGGTTAATGCGCCAGACTGCAAAGCTGTTTGGACTGCAAGATCGACAGTTCAAGCTCACCAGCCATTCCTATGAAACCCTATACAGGGTCACTATGGGTCAGAACCGACTCAACGGCACTTCACAACAACACAACAATCTTCATGGAAATGGATTTCCAGGTCTTTCTACTTTGACATCATTGGTTTACTAGTCAAGAGTAAACTGTTTTCACCACTCACGTGCAAACTACCAGCATCTTGGGTGGCGGCGGTGGTGGTGGTGGTGTGCCCTCAGGTCAGTTCCGACTCATAGCGACCCTGCACAGGGTTTCTGAGGCTATAAATCTTTACGGGAGAAGAAAGCCTCATCTTTCTCCCGTGGAACAGCTGGTAGTTTCAAACTGCTGTGGTTAGCAGCTTAGCTCATAAGCCATTACACTTCCAGAGCTCCTCAATGACCTGGGAGGGATTATTAAAAAAAACAACCAAAAAACCACAAAACCCCACTGCCATTCAGCTAATTCTAATTCATAATGATCCTCTATGAGGTTTCTGAGACTTTAATCTTTATGTGAGCAGACAGCTTCATCTTTCCCTCGAGGAGTGATTGGTAGCTTTGAACTATCGACATTTTGGTGGTGACTGTGTGTCAGAGTTGGTTCTGACTCATAGTGACCCTGTATAGGGTTTCTGAGGCTACAAATCTTTATGGTAGCAGAAATCTTTATGTTCTCCCACCAAGCAATTGGTAGATTTAAACTGCTGACCTTGTGGTTAGCAGTCCGGCTGGTAATTCACTACACTACCAGGACTCCTCTTGATTACTATGTTGTTGTTACTGTTGTTAAGTGTCCTCGAGGCAGTTCTGACTCATGAGTCTGTGTAGGTGTCTGAGGGGCAGCTGGTAACTATGAGCCACAAACCTTACTGTTCAAACCTACCTTGATGTGCTGGACTTACCCTGCAGCACATCACCAGGACTCTGGACTCTGCCCTCTGAGGTCCCCGTGAGGGACAGAATGGTATTACTCAGCTTTAGGGCTCTGGTTCTTTGTACAATGGGTATAGTTATTGTTGTTGTTATGTGCTGTGGAGTCGGTTCCGACTCATAGCGACCCTGCACAGGGTTTCTGAGGCTGTAAATCTTTACAGGAGCAGAAAGCCTCATCTTTCTCCCGCAGAACCGCTGGAAGTTTCGAACTGCTGACCTTGCGGCTTGCAGCCCAATTCGTAACCACTATGCTACCATAAAGCTTATATGACAATTGCTAGGTTTTGAAAAGAGTTCATGTATCATTCTGAAAAAATGATGTCACTTGGAACTGAGAAAACTAACAGTGGGCAGTGCTATCGTTAAGGAGTTCTGGTAGCGTAGTGGTTACGAATCGGGCTGAGAACCTTAAGGTCAGCAGTTCGAAGCTACCTGCTGTTCCGCTGGAGAAAGATGAGGCTTTCTGCTGCCATAAAGATTTGCAGCCTCAGAAACCCTATACAGGGTTTCTATGAGTTGGAATCAACTCCATGGCACTTAACAACAACAACATAGAGTTTTCTATAAAGATTTACAGCCTCAGAAACCCTGTACAGGGTCACTGTGAATCAGAACCGACTCCTTGGCACAGAACAACAACAACAACAGTGCTATTGTTACCTTAAGAAAGTCTATGTAGACTTTGGTTTTTGATGGGTGATCTGACCAAAACTTAATTACACCCAATTGGCAATTAGAGTGGGTTTTATAGCAAGAGCCAGAAGTCTCCTGCTATTATAATTTTCATTTATTCGCTTCTCTCTAAGAAGCTAAATGGAAAAGCAAGAGCCTAAGGCTCCAAGATTCTTACTCAAGAAAAGTAATAGGTTCCCTCTAATTAGTTAAATGAGACTTACCCATTTCCTCTGGGCAGAGTTATAGCTCTGTTTGCACCTCCCAGGATTTGGTAATGCACCTTAAATGGCTATATTTTTAAATGCCCACCAACTGAGCTATCAGATCTCTGCATGCTATTGTATACTTACCTTCTACCATTTGGGCAACCTTTTTCTTATCTTCAGATCGTGCCTAAAATGTAAATGGTAATCATAGGTTTGTTTTGGAATTAGCAGGAAGCAGTAACAAACCCCATTCTTGGAGGAACTTAAAAGAGGGATCTTCCATTGTTCATATCTTGGGTCATGACTGAACTACTACTACACCTTGGGGAAAGTGTGTTCTAGGCTCAGCCTAGTCATTGAATGAATAAGGACAGGTACCTGAGAACTAAAGTTTTGTGCCTCACCAGTTTTATTTTTAAGTACAGCTATTTGGTGTCATCTTTAACATCAAAATAAAACGGTTTGCCATCCAGTTGATTCTGACTCATGGGGACCTAACACATGCCAGAGTAGAAGTGTGCTTCATCTGGAACTCAAACCCTAGCTCTTAAAGCAGTCAGAAATGGTTTCCATTCACAATTTCTCCTCCTCCGCTGCAAGGGCTGGTTTCTCAGAAGACAATCGCTGTTTTCTTAGAAGGAGATTGCCAGGACTTTCTTCTGAGGCACTTCTGGGAAGACTCAAATTTAGATACTGACAATGATGGTTTCTTTGATTCACAAACAAATGAAACTATGGATCAGCAACACAGAAGATACATGTCTCCACAAAAATGTCTTTTGTGACTTCCAATGATTCCTACTTTGACTATTTATAAAAATGAGTTAGCATTTCTTTGTACAAATTGATGTGTGTGAAAGCTTTTGCTTTTGTTTTTTAACTGAAAAAAGGTGGAAGTAGTTTTTTTGCATGGGAATTTGACTCTTGGATAAGGCACTTGAGACACCCAAGATGCAAAATTTAAGGCATTGCTCATTGTCAAGGTTGCTCATTGTTAAGGCGTTGCTCATTGTCAAGGTTGCTCATTGTTAAGGCGTTGCTCATTGTCAGGGCTGGCACAGTCTTGAAAGTGAATGTTCCTTAAGCTTAGCAGCCTGGTGGTGCAGTTATTGTTGTTGTCCTTGCTGTCTGCTGCCCTCCAATCAATGTTTGATTCATGGGGACCTCATGGGACAGAACTGATAGTGTAGTGGTTACGAATCGGGCTGCTAACCTCAAGGTTGGCAGTTCAAAACTACCAGCTGTTCTTCAGGAGAAAGATGAGGTGTTCTGCTCCCATAAAAATTTACAGCCTTGGAAACCCTGTGCAGGGTCGCTATGAGTCAGAACCAACTACACGGCACATAACAACAACAACAACAATCTTTATGGAAGCTGATTTCCAGGTTTTCTGTGGTGTTACTAGGTGGCTTTGAACCACCATCTTTCAGTTTGCAGCAGAGGAAGAGAAATTGCGGAAGGTTTGGGGCACATGTGTCTTCCTCTGACTGCATTGAGAGACAGGGTTTGTGCCTCCAAAGGCAGAGTGGGTAATCCAGCCAGAATCTAAAGGATGTGAGAGGGGTAAGTCTGGGGATAAACAGTGCCATTGGGCTCAGAGGTCCAAGCCAACCCAGGAGAGCATGCACCCTGCGGCGTGGTGTGCCCGCAGAGAGAGCTGAAGTGCTCAGAGCTGCATAATCAAGGCCCCTTGGAGAGGAGGCCAGAACAGAAAAGCACTAGCAGGCTTGTTTCTGTTGACTGTCCCTGGATATTCAGAAGGATACCTCTGAATCATCCTGGGGTATGTGACCTTGTACCACTGGGGTGTGCAAGAGTCTTGGTGAATGGAAACTATGACCTCATTGGCACGCTGACACAGGATTGTGGAACTCAGGTCATACTTGCATTTTGGATCTGCATTTTGAGTTGGTGGTTGCTGAGCTTTAAGGACCTTGCGATGCTCTGCAGGTAATAGATCAGCATGCTGAAACAGACAACACAAGGGGAGAAAACACATCAACAGGCTGGCACTTTTCACACCATGGACCCTGCTCAGCTGGTCGTCAGGAACAAGGGGTCCCCAGGCCAGCTGTGGGCCAACAATGACCCTTCCCCCAGACAAATACACCCATGAGTGCCCAAGGTGCAGAGCACTGGGAAGAAGCTGATTTTCTTTTCCTTTTCCTCCTTTGTACAGCAACCTCAGGTGGCCTGCATCTGGAATTCTGGCTTAGCAAGAAGGAACGAGGGGAGATGGATTTTACAATGAATGTATCATACTGGATCCTTTTATAGTTTCTCCTCTAGACAGAAACAAGCAAAAGGCACTCAGTGGAATTGTGAAATTCCTTGTAAAGATGATTTAAATGTCTGGAGAATACCCAGTTGATGATGAGCCTATTCTGACTCATGCTGATCCCATGTGTTACTGATCAGACTGTTCCCTACATGGGTCTTTCTTGGCTGTGATCTTTACAGAAGCAGATCCCCAGGTCTTTCTCCCGAGGTGCCAACAGGTGAGTTCAAGCTGCAACCTTTTGGTTAGTGTTGTTGTTGTTAAGTGCCATCCAGTCAGTTTTAATTCACAGCAACCTTGTACAGGGCTTCTGAGGAGCAGCTGGTGGATTTGAACTGCCAACCTTGTGATTAACAGTCCTGTGCTTATCCTCCAGTGTCACACCAGGACTCCAGAGAAATCCCAACCGACAACTGATCTCTACTGACAAGCACTGCAGTTAGCAGCATTATTTTTGCTATGTGCCATCCAGTCATTGTGATTCATAAAGACCTTGTACAGGGTTCCCAGGGCTTCTGGTGTGGCGCTGTGGGTTAATGTGCTGGGCTGCAAAGTAGTTTGAACTGCAAGGTTGGTGGTTCAAGCTTACCAGTTGTTCCTTGGAAACCCTAAACAGGGTCGCTCTGGGTCTTAACAACAGCAACATAGGGTTTGGCACTTAACAGAATGGCACTTAACAACAACAACAACAACATAGGGTTTCCAAGGAGCAGCTGGCTAACAGTCCAGTATTTATCCTAGAGCACTCAGTGCAAATCATCTGCATCACCCAGAAGCCTTTCTGGAGAATAAGATAATGACAATAATGACCTTGAGCTCTGATGTCAGTGATTGGTCACATGTTAATGAACCAGAAAGTACCTGAATGGGAGCTGAAAGTTCACCCTCCCATCCCTCTCTGAGACCTGTAACTCCTTGACTAGTGACTTGTTCCTGTGGTATGTGACTCAGAATCCTTGCCTACCTCATCAGACTCTATAAGTTATGTTGGAATGAATGAATGAAGTTTCTGTAGTTATTGCAAAACTGCATTTTCTTGTTAGCCAAGTGTGTGTAAGCCCCCACAGCTGGCATGGAAGTTTGGGTGTTGCACTCACAAAAGCAGCAGTACTGCAGGCAGGATAACCACAGGGCTGCTGATGTACCCAACCACGGTGCGGAACCACACGGGAAAGTCGTTCTCGATTGTCTCTGACACGATGTCATAGATCTTCTCTTGTCCACTGAGGGCAGAGAAACGTGGCGCCAGAGTTAGCTGCTTTGGCCAGAAGGATACTGCAAGACATCCCCATATGGCTTGATGCTTAGATAGACTACAATCCTCACAGTCAGTGACAAAATCAGAGTAAATACTGAATGTAAAAGATACTTAACATTCCTAAAAGTACTTCATCCTGAGCATCCATCTAATCAACATGTAAATCTCATGGTAGGTCAGTAATCACATCGTGTGTGTGAGTGTGCGTGTTGGTGGAGGACATATGTGTATTTTACTGCTCTACACAAGTAGAGACTCTTAAGTGTTACAGACATTTTGGTAACAGGGTAAGCCAGGAAGATAATTGAGTAGAAGTCTTCCCACTACAGCCGATTCAATGAAGGAATGAATTAACTTGAACTGTAAGGTTGGTGGTTCAAGCTCACCAGCTACTCCACGGAAACCCTATACAGGGTCACTATGAGTCGGAACTGACTCAACGGCACTTAACAACAACAATTACATATTTATGTAGGCTGTTGGTGGTATTAGGTACGGTTGAGTCTATTTTCAACTCACAGCAACCCCATGTGACAAAGTAGACTTAGCCCATAATGTTTTGTTGGCTGTCATGGTGTGGCGCTGTAGGATAAGCACTGGTCTACTAACTGCAGCTCAAACCCATCAGCCACTTCTTGGAAACCCTGCATAGGGTTGTTATGAGTTAGCACTTGCCAAAATACCAAATAATAGTCTTTATGGGAGTATAGTTCCAGCTCTTTCTCCTACTGAGTCTCTTTGTTGTTGTTGTTATATGCCATTGAGTCAGTGAGCCGTCCAGTGCTTATCCTACAGCACCATACCAGGAGTCCTCTGGGTAGCACCAAATCCCCAATCTTTCAGTTGCCAGCTGAGCACCGAGCTGTTACACCACAATCACCCCTTGTATTTATATACAAATAAGTATATTTATCAATTTTATGTATTTATAAAACTGTATACTTGTATAACTGGGCAGAGTTGATAGAGCTAAAATCACTTACCTGAATGGGCCACAGTTTAGAGAGGGCTTGTACCGGACAATAGCAAACATGGTGGGCAGCATGCACAGGAAAAGCATAAACAGGAGCATTGATAAGTAGAAGTTATTGGATCTGCAAAGAAACCAAACATGTGTGAGTTCATTCCTTGACCAGTTGTCAAGAATGCATGTTCAAGGAACCGGCACAGAATAATGGTAGCCTTGGCTCTTTGTAAACACAAAAACCTTTCTCCCATTGCTGCTTAGGACTGGATCTGAGTCATATATGGTCACATGCTCACAGGAACTTGACTGATAACCCAACCCAGACTAAGATGACATAGATTTACCAGCCAGCAAATCTAACAGGCATTTTCTGAGCACCTGTTTACCCCTGGCTGCCACCCACTGAGCAAAACTCTTGGGAAAATCTTAAGACTTTTGCCCCACTCACCCAGTCTCTATCAAATGGTTTCCTTTCCTGTTCCCAGCCTTGAACTTGTCTCATGTCAGGATGGTTTGACTCCTTGGATTATGCTTCTTGACTGTCTTGCTTGGGTGTGGTTTGCATACTACCTCTTACTCTCTGCTTTTGACTACTCAGGGTAAATATACTTGGTCCCTGGTCCCTAAGACCTAGGCTGGTATCCATGGGCTTGACTGCCCAGGTCTCCCCTTAGGGTGGCTCAGGTATTTTGGGTGCAAAGTCCTACATAGAGTTCTAGAAATAGAATGAATGGTGGGCTGTGACTTTTAACTAGCTTCGCTCTTTCTCTTTTCTTTTGAAAAAACAAACCAAAACAAAAACACACTAGATTGGTGTAGATTAGATTAGACTAGACTGGATTGGAAGACAATAGAAAGTCTTAGAACATGTAAAATACAGTCAATAGGAGTGTGCTAATTTGCAACTTTTTCTTTTTATATATTCTACGCATAACATGTTGTTACTGTTATTAAGTGCTGTCGAGTCAGTTCCGATACTGTATAGGGTTTCGAGCATTCATATAGAACACACACCCACATATATATATATATATACCAATAACCAGTACTTTTAAGTCAAGCCCGACTCATCATGACCCTGTGTGTATCGGAGTAGAACTGTGTTCTACAGGGTTTCCAGTAGCTGAATTTTTAAAATTAGTTCACCAGGCCTTTCTTCTGAGGTGCCTCTGTGTGGACTTGAACTTTCAATCTTTCAGCTAGCAGCTGATCATGTTAACTGAGCAGAACTTATTCTCACTGACCTAGACGCTCGAAACACTTGCTGGTGGGGCACGTTGCAGGTCAGCACAGCCCAGCTCCGCAGGTACATGAGCCCAATCAGTTTGAGAACGTTGAATGCGGGAAGACATGGGGAGAAGAAGGCTCCCATCCTGGAACACAGGAGAGGACCCAGTTAGTATCTGTTCTCTTCCTGTGTGGCTTTCAGTGCTTTGATGCAGAAGTCCCACAAAATGGCGCAGGTCTGAGATGTTGGAATTTGTACCCTATGCTTACAGAACTGAAGATGTGTAACTCTACTCTTTCATCTTCTGGAAATAAAACAGAAGATGGAGCAGGACCAGGAATGCAATATTCTGTTGTGCATAGGGTCAACCCTATGTTTACAATTACTCATACGTTTGAGTCCACTCTTGTAGACACTGTGTATCTTAAGTGCTTTCCAACCTGTTGGCTCATCTTCCTGAATGGAAACATGGGGTCATGACTAGGAGGGAGAGTGGAGATGGGGGCAGGGCTGGCTGAGTTCCCAGCTGTGACCCATGCCTGTCCTGGAAATCCTTGTTGGAAAGAAGCAGCCATCTCCCCATCCTCCCAACAAGCTACTGTACTCATTCCTCTACAGATATTTTGCCTGTGACCCACAATGACTTTGAAATAGAGGATTTCCTTGCCCATTGCTTTATGCAAAATTCTTAGAAAATCATTAATAAAGTTATTCTCATACATGCAAAATATTCCCATTGAACTATTTTCATCCATTCTTAAACCTTACACCCATATTTATTATGGTCTTGTCCTATCTAGACGGCCTGAATTAAAATCTTTGCCCAGAGTGAGATGTCAGCAAACACAAGAAACAGCGTTGATACCTACCAAATCATTCCTTGATTGTAGACAAGATGAAGCACGTTCTCTGCTATTTTGAATTCCCCATATTCCGGCTACAAGACAAAATGAACTTCTGTATGAAAAAAAAATGTTCCAAAGATGCTTTATATAGACCATTTCCACTACACTCCAGTCCCGGCAGCATAATGGTGAAGAGCTCTGTTGCTAACCCAAAAGTAGGTGGTTCGAACCCACCAGCCTCTCAACAGAAACAAAAACCTGGTTATCTTTTCCCATAAAGATTAGTCTAGGAAACCCATCTCTGCTCTGTCCTATAGGGTTGCTATAAGCCAGAATGACCTAACTGCACACAATGGATTTCTTTACTCTTGTGACACCTAGAGATCATTGGGTGGCCATTCCAACAAATAGTAAATGTAAACGATAGGATGGACACTCAGCTTGGTCTGTCCTTTCCCTCTTCTCTCTCTCATACATTGTCTCCTACCTTGGGCTCCTTTCCCATGGCCTGCTGTTTCACAGTCTAGATATGCAGAAAGGGTGAACTTAGCTTCATGAACTTCCCAGATGGACACAGTCTGACTTACAAACATGCTTTCCAGGTCCCAACACCAGAAGTCACTCAAATAGCGAACGAGAAGTCCTCGGAAGAAGTCTATGAGTAGGATACTGGCCACGGTGAAGAGCATGTCGATGATGGACAGTTTCAGCATCTCCTGAAACACAGGTGTCCTAGGATGCCCAGCACGCCCCGCCCTCTCTCCCTCCTCCTACTGGGTCTGCATTGTGTGAACTGAGACGGAGTAATGGGCAGAAGATACATGTGGCTGCTCACTAAATGTTTGCTAACATGAATTGGAATCGGAATCTCAAAGGTCAGCATGAACTAGAAAGAATCTAAAGTCTCCAATTCTGAGCCATAGATTCATGAGGCCTGAGATTCACTTCCCTGGGTAATAGCTTAGGCTTGTGATTCTCTGTATGAGATTGTATGTCTAAGCCAAAAGGCAGGGTGGTTGAGAGCCCAGGTTTTAAAGCAGATGCCTAGGCTTGGATCTCCCTTTTCCTGATTACTAGCTGGGCCCTTGACTAAGTAACTTAGCATATTGTGCCCCAGTTTCCTCTTCTGTGCCTAGGAAAAAACCAATAACAACCAAAAAACTAGCTGTCATAAAGCCAGTTCTGTGTCAGAGTAGAACTATGCTCCCGAGGGTTTTCACTGAGTGATTATTTGATCTTTTTTCCAAGGTGCCTCTGAGTCTTGAATGGCCAGTTTGTACCACCCAGAGATCAGTACCTATAGGGATTTTAATAATAGGAGTGGTGTATGGACTAAACCCTAAGTACAGGGCCTGACACATAGTTAAGCCTGCATGAGTCTTTAAACTGATTATTTTCAGGAGTTTTCAGACTTGGAAAATCACATGCACTGATGGAACTTTGCTTCCCTTGTCTATAAATCAGGGACTATGACATCTCAAACAGTGGGCGTGGTTAAGAAATGAAATGGACATGAAAAAGGCTCTGTACAGGGTGCTGGGAACCACCTGCCCGACGTATGTTTCCCAGCACTGGTCTTGTGGACTCTGGGTGAGGGGGGTCGTCCTGTTGGCCTCTGGGAGGGACATGAAGAGAGTTGAGGCATGGGCCCCTTCCAAGACCCATGTGCTGTTTTTCCTGCTCCCTATCCCAGGCTGAGGCGTGGGCCATGAGTCTTCTTCAGGGGCAGTTCTGGGGGCAGAGAAGGTGATAGAGTCCATCCAGTTACTTGCGTTATTTTTGGTAGCAGCTTCCTGTGGAGAGAAAGGAGGGACAAAAGCAAGAGAGGAAGAAAAGAAGGAAGAAGGAGGAAGAAAAAGAGGTTGTCTGTGCATTTGTAAATAAGAACCCATCCTGGAGACCAAGGGCGTCATTGTCTCATTACTAGTCTGGTTGTAATTTGTCTGTCTGTTTGTCTCAGCTAGGTAGAAAGCCACTTGACCAGAGCTGGCCCTAATAATGGAACATGGAGTTTTAATAGCTACTATTTA